TTTTTAAATTTTTTTTTTTCAACGTTTATTTATTTTTGGGACAGAGAGAGACAGAGCATGAACGGGGGAGGGGCAGAGTATTTTTTATTTTTTTAATTAAAAAAATTTTTTTAATATTTATTTATTTTTGAGAGACAGAGCACAAGCAGGGAAGGGGCAGAAAGGGAGAGAAACACAGAATCTGAATCAGGCAGGCTCCAGTCTCTGAGCTGTCAGCACAGAGCCCGATGTGAGGCTCAAACCCACAAACTGTGAGATCATAGTTTGAGCTGAAGTCGGCACTCAACAAACTGAGCCACTCAGGTGCCCCTAGTCATTTTTTCTTTAAGCCCTCCAAAATGCATTTTTTAGCATAATTGGGATAAGTATTCTTTTCTAATTTTTTACATAACTACAAACTTCATATATATTCATTTTAAAGAGGGTGAATATTCTACTGCTATTAGCTACTTAATATTTCTCTTTTATCAGATATTGAGATTGTTTTCAATTATTCTGTAAAGAAAATTTCACTGGAAATGCCTCATTCATTAGTGATTTTTTTTTTTCAAAGAAATTTTAGCTTTTTGGGGTTTATTTTTCCAGACAGTCTCTTGCACCATTCATAGTGGGATTTCACTTGGAATTAATTGATCCTTTATAATGTTTTAGACTTTCCAACAAGACTTTGGTATGTCTCCATTTAGTAAAGTTTTATATTTCAGTAATTATTTGTCATAGGTCTCAAATATTTTGCAGAAGGGATATTCTTAACTACATAATCTTTTTGTGGATACTGTTATTATGATTTCTAAGTGGTTATTATTTATATACAGAAATCACTGGTTTTGTAAATTTATCTTACTTCCAGATCCTTAAATATTCAAAATATAAAGTTATAATGCTGATACAAAGTTAAAAGTTTTTATTTTTGAGTTATTGCTTGGCTCAATGCACGTTAAAAAGGCCCCGTGAAATGTCTCACTAATGGTTAAACAGATTAAGAGAACAAATTTTGGAATGCCTCCCTGAGTAAACTCGAGCACAGAGCTGCTGAGATTAGAGGCACTGTTCAGGCTGTAAAAAGTCAGGCTCTGGCTGCACATCTCTACAGAGAACAGAAAATTAATTTCAAGTTTCAATTGTTGCCTGTGCCTTAAACCATCAAATTGTATTTTCTTCTACCACATTCTCCAAGGGATATCAGCAAATAAGTTATCAAAATCTATCTCTAAATATCCAAGACTGCCCTATTCACTGCCTTTTTTTCCCTCTTAAATGTAACAAAACAAAACAAAACAAAACAACCCAACAAACCTAAAAAAAGCATAAAAAATAAATGAAAATTTTCAGCTTCCAGTCAATGTGTCTTACCTTTGCTCCTTTCCTTCCAATGCTGCCATAACCTGGAGGGCCATCATCGCCCTGTAAACAAAGGCATTAATTACAAACATCCGAGACTACAGACTGGAGGCAGGCTTATCCACAAGAAAACAAGACACCCGGTTTTTTGGTTTGATTAGGAGAAATTAGGAAGCAGATACTTCCTCTGGAGCTGGCCACTGACATTTGGTGATAGTAGCACTAAAGATAACTCTCAGTGACAGATATAGACCGTGCACTGTCCCTTAGTCTCACTTGTTTCATCTGTAAAATGGAACTAAAAGTTATAACCACTCATGATCTTATTATGAGGACCGAATGAGAAAATTTGAGGCATACAGTCATGTCAATAAAAGGAGGTAGTGGTGCTTCTGTTTAACACCTGTATTTTTAATCCATTAGCTCTAATCCATTTTCAGTTTGCTAGATGAAAATAAGGCCTTCTAAATTCTTGGTCAATGGCTACTGTCAGACCCTTGCAGAAGGTCTTTGTGACAAGTCCTGAGCTCTGGGGGAGAGTGGGCTGGGTTTCTGATGAACAGGTTCTGATGGGCGGAAAGGATAGAAGAAGGGTTACGGGGATGCTCAAGACACGTTTTTGTCCAGTTTATCATTTGGCTTTAAAAGCATCCTGGCCAGGGTGTTTGGTACGGGCAAGTGGCCACCTTAGGAAAGGAACTAATCCAAGTTAAGGATAATATCTCAGTTTCTGGAAAGCTAAAAGCTAGACTGGGTTGGTATCTTTAATACATGCCCCAGAGAACCATACGTGATATCTATTGAACTAAAAGATTCCAAGGGCCACGTCAAAAGTAGGGATCAAATACAAACCGGCAAGCCTCGAGGACCGGGGAGGCCAATAGGTCCTCTTTCTCCCAAATCTCCAGGTTCTCCCTGTCAAACAAAACAGTGAAATGTGTCCTTGTCAGGCTTGTTATTATTCTTTTATAAAGGAAATGAGCAGTGACGGTACTAAGATAATAGTTAGTTATACAACTGCATCCATGTCATTGTATCGAACACAGTGACAATGGCTTTGTGGTCAGGACTGCGAGTTGTATAAGCAATGCAAGGAATTGGCTGTTGTTGTCTAGTGAGGTCTCCTCCATTGACGAATGAAGTCCCAGCAAGACTGATACATTGTTTAGTGCAAGTTGCCATCTTGGCAGCTCAGTACCATGAACCGCACCCTTGGAAATGTCTTACCATGAGTCAAAGAGGAAGCTCTGTACTGTTTTAAAAAATTAACAAAACTGTTTTCCAAGATGATCCATCAAATCATCTGGCTGCTGCAAAGACAACAGACTTCTTAATCTAGTTTTAAGTGCTAATCAAGATAACCAAGTTAGCACGACATTCATGGCAATTGTTTCTGACTTCTGACTAGTAGACCATCTACTGTGGGTTATAAATCAATCTCAGGATTACGTTGAGTAAAGTCCAGCTACTTGGGAAAGTTAACACAGCTCTACAAAAGAAGGTTAACTCCTTTTCTTAAAAGAAAAAAAAAAAGAAAAGAAAAAAGATGTTAGATTTTAGATTTACATAAATGGCAAGGTAGTACAGAGAGTTTGTATACACTCCACATCTAGCTTCCCCTATTGTTAGCATTATATTAGTTACATTAGTAGGGCCCATTTATCACAATGCATAAATGAATACTGATTCTTATTAACTAAAGCCCATACTTTATTCAGCTTTTTTTTTTTTTTTTTAAGTTTTTACTTAATATCCTTTTTCTCTTCCAGGATCCTATCCAAGATACCGTATCATGTCTTCTTAAGTTCCTTTAGACTGTGACACAGTTTATCGGATTTTCCTTGTTTTTGAGGACCTTGACGGTTTTGAGGAGTACTGCTGAGGTATTCTGTAGAATGTCCCTCAACTGGGGTCTTTCTCATGATTACGGTGGATTTTATGGGTTTAGTGGGTAAAGATCACAGAGGTAAAGTGCCATTCTCATTACAACATAACAAGAGAACATTCTATCAACACGGCTATCACTATTGATGTTAACCTTGACCATTTGGCTGAGGCAGTGTTGGTCACGTTTCTCCACTATCTAGTCATTCCCTGTCTTTCCCATAATGTACTCTTTAGAAATGAGTGTGGAAATGTACCCAGCCCACACTTTGGGAGTGGGAGTGGTTAAGTCATTTTTAAAGACAGAAAGGCAACCAGTTAAGTGTGAGAAGTACAAATGGACAAATGTCCACTAGCACTGAACTCAGAGTAATACAGAGTTGGGTTCCATGGCTGGGAAGCAGAAGATCACCTTTCTTTCAGGGTAGTGGTTCTTAAAGTTAGCTCTGGGGCCACCTGCCTCACAACTACCTGAGGTCCACATGCAAAGGAAATTCCTGGACCCCACTGGTATGGTCTCTTGTATTAGAGCCCAAGAATATGCCTATTTAAATAAGCTTCTCTGCTGATTATTTTAATTTTTTTTTTTTAATGTTTATTTTTGAGAGAGAGCAAGCATGAGCCAAGAAGGGGCAGAGAGAGAGACGAAAACAGAATCTGAAGCAGGCTCCAGGCTCCGAGCTGTCAGCACAGAGCCCAAGGTAGGGCTGGAACTCACAAGCTGTGAGATCATGACCTAAGCTGAAGTTGGACGCTTAACTGACTGAGCCACCAGGTGCCCCTCCGCTGATTCTTATACACAGTGAAATTTGAGAACATCTGCTTTAAGGTGCAGAAACAAGGGAAGCCAAATGGCTTGAACGGGGTCACTTTTGCTATTGGTACAGTCAGGTGTTGAGCCCAGAATTAACCAGTAAGTTGCTTGTGTCCCTGGGTACTTGGGCTTATTGTAGTAAGGTAGGAGTAAGGTAGGAGTAAGTGTTCGGGGCTCATCTCAGTTGACAATGAATCCAGAGGACTCAATTTATCTTGGGACTTCCCAAAGGATTTGGGTTTGCTTTGAGGGTACTTATTTCCAAATTCTTGCCTCTTCGTCTTTAAAAGTCCCTGTTATTAATAATGATCTTTTGGGCACAACTACCCTGCTCCTATCTATCTCCTTCCACACTCTCACCTATAACTGGCCCAAGGAGCTCTCCATTCCTGCCGACCTATCTCCTGGTCCCTTTTGTTTCATCCAATGGATTGCTTTCTTCTCACAAGCAAACCTCTATGCATCCATGAAGCTGCACACAAACACACATCCTACCTCATTGTAAGATAATTGGTTCTCTTCAGTGACACCACTTCCCCTGCAGCCTTCCCCAAGGGCAAGAAGGCAGCATTGTTTCTGTTCCAAACTTTCCTTTCCAGAGCACTATTGCTACACTGCATGCTCTAGCAATCCTTTCCTGTTGGAGTTGATTATCCCTGTCATCCACATATCTCATATTTCGCCCTCCAGTCAATAGTCCTTACAACTTGACCGCTGGCCTCCACCACTTCAGCCCTTCTTAGCAGTTCTCCATAACAAAGCTAGCCTCTCTTCTCATGTTCTCATTCTCACCCTCTGTGTCAAGAAATTTCCCCATTAATTACCTACTCTGACATCTTCAATCTTCTCCTTTCTCTCTGCTCAGATGCACACTACAGTCTCTCCTATCATTGAAAACAAATACCCAGCTTCAATCAGTCCTATACTGGTGGTTAATACCCTCTCCCTGCCCCCAAGTCTTGCTTCTTCAAAGAGTAGTTTATAGCCCTGAATCCATTTCTTCCTCTCCAACGCATTGTTCAGTTCTTTGTAGGCTATCTCCCTTTCTTTCCTCTTCTCTCAAATGCTACATTTCAAACTATTCTTTGGAGCATCTTAGCTACCAGAAGCAATGGCTTCCCTTATCTATTCTGCACTAGCTTATCTATTCTGCACTCCCCTTATCTATTCTGCACTAGCTGATACAATTGACCTCTCCTTCTTCAACTCTTCTTCTCAGCACCCAGTGTGCATTTCTGTTTCTTTCCCCTCCTTTCTAATGATTGTCTCCCCTTACCCTTCTTACAAATAGATATCACTAAGAGTCTTTTTAAGAATCCAAATGCCTCTGAAACCTAAAACTCTGACCAGCCATAAACTCTTTTCCTCTATTCCCCAAACCAAGTGGTTCCCTTCACTCCTACACTGCCCTTTCTCATGACTTTCCTGCTTCTGGGATGGTGCTACACGCATGCAGGAAGCCCACAAATCATGTAGCCCTCTTCTTTATACCTTAGTTTCCTACTAGAAGAGTCTTCCAGAATCATGATGAGTTCCTCCTGTCCTCACCCTGTTACATCATCCAATTGTTGCTTGTCTTAGAGACTATGAGAACGTACCCACTAGTCTCCTAGCTTCCTATCTCTCAGCGTTCCATATATTTCTACACTGAGTGTCCTATTCAAAATCCTCCCAAGTCTGGCTGTGTTCATACACTCCATTAAAAAATTATAAATAGCACTGTACTTGCTACTTAACAAAGCAAGTGACCACAGACTTTGTCTTTTATGTGCCTACCAGACAGGATCATCTTCTTCCCCAAATACCCACTTCCCAGGATTTTCCAACTCTGTGCTTTCCTTCACGTGATTTCTTCTCCCTGAAACCCTCCATGCCTCCTCTCTGCTTGCCAAAGTCTTTATTATCTTCTAAGGTCTGCTCCAAGTCTGTATCCTCTATGATGCCTCTTTCCCCAGCCCGGAAATACTTCTACAAACACTATATTTTAACCTCCATTCTCAGACCCGTATCCTGGACTACTTTATGTCATAGATTATTGTCTTGAAAATATTCTAAATTCTGTGGGGACTGACTCCATGTCATCTTTATTATACAACTCAGAAATTCTTTCATTAAGCAAATATTTTCTAAGCAATTATGTGCCAGGAACCGTTCAAAGTACTAGGGATGCATCAGTGAGCAAAACAGTCAAAGAGCTCGACTCTCCTGAAACTGACTTTCTAGTCCAACAGAATGCCAGTACAGTGACTTTGTCTTTAAAGGTGTTCAGCAAAGGTTTACATGCATGGGAGGAAACAAATAAAGAAGAAGAGAGGAGGAGAAGGAAAAAGAGAAGGTCAAAGGAAGGCCTGTCCCAGAACAGTCCTCCTTCCCTGAGGTTCCCCCAGGCTAAGATTGGGTGTAGCCCCTCGTGAAATTATGCTGAGCTGGAATTCTTGACCTCATTGTCGTCCACACCCACGTCCTTAGATATTGTTGGCTCTCTAAGAATTAAGCCAGGGTGTAGGGGCAATAAGATATTCTCCTTTGTGTTGAAAGGGCTCTGGCTAATACAACCAGACACACTTACTTTGAGGAGAAAACCTTAACTTTGGTGGGCTTAAAGAATGTGACCTACTTTATTTCCTTGGCTTCCCAAATGGCCTGGACTCCCTGCTTCTCCTCCTGGTCCTGGAGGCCCCTGAAACAAACAAGGATTGCAAATATAGCAGAACATAAAGCAACTTCCCCTTAAACCCCCTGTGTCTCTTCTAAGAGGAAAATGAACCACAGATGGGAAAAGAATTATGGCTTTACTGATTTCTGCTCTGGAAAAAAGTATCACAGCTGTCAAATAAAAACTAGTAAATAAAAGAAAATTAATAAAGTAATTCATGCCAGATGTGGCCTAACTGATCATGCTTCCTTGTGAGTCTTCTTTTCCAAAGAGATTTTATATTCTCACTGTTTTGCTTTTACAGCAGATGTTGCTAAAATGTCTAACATTTAAAGAAGGCATTCCAAATGACATTTGTCTTTAACTGTATTCTGTCTGGTTCTTTGTTTTGCTAGAAAGCATTTTTTTAAAGGTAAACATATATTTATTTGCAACTAATATAATTTGTACAAATAGAAAGTTCAAGAAGCTTCCCCCCAAATAATTAGTATTAATAACAAGATATATTCAGGTGTACCAGATAAATGTTCTGAAATAGTTTTCCCTTCCCGACTGATAAATTAGAAAAGTAAATGTACATAAGTCCCCATTTACCGTTAGAAGAAAAAAACTAAAATATTTAGAATTTAACAAGAAAGATAAAGACCCATATAAAGAAATTTTTAAGATCTTATTGAAGAACGTAACAAAAGTTAAACAGGTGGATAAATATACCACATGTCAATATGGAAAATCTGTTTGATATAATAGAAGTTTCTTTAGCATTCTAGAAAGCATGTTTTATTGGAATAGCTTTAGAACTAACCATTTAAAAATCCCAATTCACACACAGCCCAACTGCCTTCCCATGTTACTAACCCTTGGGATCAAATTTTTCCTTTGGGATATCCAAACATATGGCAACACAAATCTCTTTTAGTTAAAATGTTTACATAGGTACTTGTAATAATTCCAACACCAATGAATGGAAATCATTTTCAAATTTCTTTTTTGCCATGGTTACTGTAATTTAAAAATAAACAAACCATATCTGTGTAGTAAGCATGCTACTTAGCAAATTTTGTTCAGAAAAAAAAAAATTATGACATTAACCTTTTTTATCTTGAAAAAATTAAGGATGTACTAAGTTGGACATAAAAAATTTCCTAATAGGAAAGACTGTTAAATAGTATATTGGTTACCAGGGAAGATGATAATAATCTTTCCACAATCTTCGTTTTTTTCTCCTCCCTCTCCCTTATTTATCCTAAAAGAAGAATCTCAATTTCACTTTCCATAGCTGTCAATCCTTTCCCTTCTAACTCTCAGTCCTACCACTTCATGGAGCTAGCTCCCGTGACATCCACGGGATGTTTTCTGTTCTTTTCTGTTCTTACCTTAGTTGATTTTGATCATGTATTCTTTGAAACTTTTCCATTAAGTTCTGTAACACTGGTTACCATGGCCTTCCTGGTCCCTCTCGGGCCTCTTCTCAGCAAACTTCAAAGACTCCATTGGCCTCTTAAATCTCCATGTGCCCTGAGGCTCCTCTGATCTTATTTTCTCATTTAATCCTCTCTTCCTGAGTGATTCCCCCATAGATTCACATATCACTTTACAAAATAACCCCTAAATATTTGGATCTCCAGTTCAGACCACTCAACTAAACGCCAGACCCATAAGTTAAAATGTCTATTGGAACTGATTACCAAAGATAATTAGATTTACTGCAAGTCATACTTGGGTTCATTCTCTTTATTAAGGAAGCCCAAGGTGGAAACTAGGAATCATCACAGACCCCTCCCTTAGCTTATCTCTCAAAACCTATCAAGTACAAGTCCTACAGATTCTATGCCTTTCTGTATACATCTCTCTTCTGTTCCTATTGCAATCATCTACCTTCAGGCCTTCCTGCATTCTGTCTAAATTCCTGGATTCCCTGACTGTAGCCTGGGCTCTCTCTAATCCATTCTTCATGACTTTTCCTTTGGATTTAAAATGTCAGGCTAATGCTGCCACTTTTTCTGAAATTCTGAATAGCTCTCAGAATAAAGTTTATGGTCTTTATTTATTAATACACAAAATCCCTCAAAATGTTGGGACTGCATGTCTCCATTGTCATCTGTGACTACTTCAATCACTGTATGTTTATGCTTAAACCATCTGAAGTCACCAAATACTTCTTGTTTTATATCTCCGCACTTGTGCAAGTTCTTCCCTTAGCTGGTCCATTTTTCCATCTGGAGAGAGGTACAATCTCCCTGTTCTGAAAATCTTATTTTTAGCATCACTGTTTCAAGAATACCTGAATCCCCTGGCTATACTGGGTCTCACAGATTCCTTTACTCTGTATGTAGTTCTTCATTCATTTCTTTCTCTCATCCACTAGATACTAGCCTGTACATTCCTTGAAGGAGTATACCCTATTGACTTCATATTTCTGGAATTTTGTCTCTAGGTACTTAGTACAGTACCTAGGTACTTAGTAGAGTACTTAGAACCTCTCAGTCCACCCATTCATTCATCTATCCATTCACCTCTCCAGGAAAATCCCCCAAGAGGGATGAAATAATGTGTTTAACTTGATTTTCCGTATGAAATGTTTGTGTACTTCACAGGACGATGAAGTAAAAAGATTTCAATTATCCTTGACCAAAGGCATAAATTGGAAGTCTGGCCTAGGAGTTCACTTTCTGCGCTTCCTTCAGACATAATGAGCTCTATGAGATGAAATAATTTCAGGGAGATTACTTCATGTGTAGTCACTTTGAGCACACACAAGCACAGTGAGAGATTATCTTGTTTGAAAGCCCTCCAAAATGGAATGGATGGGCAAATGGAGGGACAGAGGGATGGATGGATGGATGCAGACAGAGCCTGGTCATCAGAACATCAGAGAACCTGATCCTGTTTCCTATGCAGGACCACACAAAATACCAGACTGGCATTTGTGATTGCTTGAATAGGCCTCAAGCTTCATTGAACGGTTATCCAGATAGGTTACCTATTCAAATACTGCTGGTTGTATAGGGCACCATGTTTTTAAAGGAAAGGTGAAAAATTCCCTGCAACCCCAGGATATCAAAGAGCCAAAAAGTTACCTTTATTTGAGGCCAAGAGCAGCTATGGAATATAAAAAGAAGCTTAGGGCATTTAAAGGAAAAGGACACCAGCTAGAGATCAAATCTCCATCGGCTTTGTGGCAATGGCAGCCTTTTATTGAGTATTTTGTGCAAAGCACTGTGCTAAGAGGTATATGTTTACACTATCCAGACTTTCTCAATCCTTACAATAACACAGTGAGATACATATTATTGATACCATTGTTTACCAATAAAAAATAAATTCTCAATATATTTAACCCCAGATCACTGTTAACAAGAGGGTGAGATGGGAACTGAACTTGATTTTGACTCTGAACTCCTAGCTACTCTGCCTGCTGTTTTGAAGCCTGTTTGGGGACAGGATTCCCTAACTCTACTATTCATGCATCAGCTGAGATTGGAGTTTTAAAAATGTGAATCTCCAAACTTGATGCAGGAGGCTGGGGCCAGATCTACCCTGCAATATGGGGACTTGGGCTGGGGGTCTTTTGCTTGTGTTCAGACTCTGTGACAGAGTCTTCTGCAATCGCAACTGCTTAATAGAGGTGTTAAGTGATGATATAAAGGAGATGTTTAGAGTTTAAATGTTTTAAAAAATTGTCCTTAGATAGTATCTGATCAGAAAGGATAGCACTAGGATTTGGGGATTAATGGCTGCTACAGTGCCAAGGACACCTCGACTTTGGATGGGATGTAGCTGGGCAGGGACAAGAGATGCAGGCTCTTCTCATGCTTAAAAGGAATCCTGTCACTTATTAATTTCTTGGGGGCAAAACCTTGCCTACAAGGACAACCGGTAAATATCAGGCTGAGCAAAAACTACTCAAGGAGACTAAATGCTCAGCATCTTTAAGAGTCAGATATGAGCTAATTCTGAGAAAATCAAAAAACAAGAGGCCAGCCCTTGCTGGTGGGCTAATGCAGGAACAAACCCTGAGACACCTGAGGTGTTGATCTTGACCATGCTAATCTAGGACATAGCCTCTAACTCAACTTCTAATCCTTCATGCCTCCTACACTCCATCCATACTGGATCATTTATCGTTCCCCAAACTCACTTTGGTATCTCTTTTTAGATTTTCTGGCTCCTTTTCCCAGATGCCTGCCTCTCCCTTGGTCATTGGAAAACACCTCCTTATCCTGCAAAAGCGAAACCACTCTTCTGCTCTAAAGCCATCCTTTCCCCCACCATTCTACCTGAGGTATAATTCTACATTAGCATTTAGTACATCACATCTCAACTATTCGTTTGTATCGGTCTCCTTTATGAGATTGGGAGCGTGCACTTTTATCTTACTACAGAACGCGCACACAGGAAGCCCTCAGTAAATATTTGAGTAAAAGGAGTAGTTGATGGATCATTGAACCCAGATTATGCGGAATGATGAAATGCAATCACTGCAGTACAGATTATTAGTGTTAGTATTACCACGGCCTTTCTTACACTGGAGACTCCTCGCATACTTTGCGCATAAAATGTCCCTGCTAAATTAGATAATACTGATGCAATGCAGTAGTATTAAACATTTACATAGTGCTTACGACACCGCAGGCACTGTTCTGAGAACCTACGTGTATTAAACCATTTAATTTCCACCTGATGCAGTAGATACTATTACTATCCTTATTATGCAGCAGAGAGAATTGAGGCATAGAGAGGTTAAACAAATTACCCAAAGCCACAAAGATAGATAGGAAAGTACAAATCTGGCCATCAAACTTAGGCACCCTGGCTCCAGACACTGTGCCCCTGACCACTATGCTACGCTTGGTAAAGATGACAACAGAAATTCTACTTTATATCCCAAATTGACATGGAATAATTCCAATTTTTCTGGGTATTGCCTGACATTAGTGATTATTTCACTAAAAACAAACAAACTGAGAATAATTCCAACACTAACTAGAATTAGGATTGGTGTCTGATTTTCCTTTCCTCTTCTAGGCATTGGTTATGTTAGTGTGGTACCCCAGGGTAAACCAGACGAGAAGGAAGGTATGAAAGAAAATGCCATTCTTTTCAAGGTTACGTCTTTTTTATTATGCCAGAGACTGTACTTCTTTCATATCATAGCCATATACTTGGTTGGATTAGCACATTTTGATTTATGCAGAATTCCCCAACACTGCATAAATTAATAAGTCTTCAGAACACTGTCAACACACCTCACATCCTTTTTTCCAAATGTATGTCCTAAGAAAAGCCTTAAGGCCTGCAATTAAAAAACACTCCCGTTATTCCACCTAAATGGCTTGTTCGTGTGTGCTGTATGAAGCCTGTGTCAGTGGATTTATAGAGCCCATAAAGAATAACACTCTCTTGTATATATGATTGGTTTTGTCTCCCGTGGTTTTCCTTTGGAAACAACAATTTTGAAGTCTCATCCATCATGTCCTGAATATAGAAAATTCTACACATCTTTGAAATAGCACTTTCACTGTGTTGACAAGGGTATTTCAAGAAAAGCAAGCAAAGAAAGCAAGCCATGATTTCTAGCCAGATAAATGGAAGGGGTAGAGAGAAGTGGTGCCTTTTGACTAATGCTGGCAATGCCAAGAGGTTGAATGATTTATAACTATGATCAATCTTGCCAAAGCAAGATTAAAGGGGACTCACTCAGAGAAGTACACTATAGGGCAAATGGAACAGCTTATTTGAGTAACAGCCACTTGGATGCAATTTTGGATTGTAGAGAAGGGAATTACCAAGCTCTTTGGATTTAACCCATCTACATTTTAATATTTTATATAAACAGATGAGATAATCACCTGATATACGTTTCCCTTGGCATTTGCTTTTTTTTTTTAAATCCCAGTTGGTGGTGGCAGCGTTTTTAACGATTCAAGGATGTGAATGCAAAATAGTTACTTTTCATCAATTTAGTCCTACAATGAAATTTTAAAGTTTTCATGCTGTTTGAAGGAGCACATTCATCAAAATTGGGAACAAATATCCTCACGAGTAGTTATTCATATGCTTTAAAATACTGTGTCATGAGATACAGGTTTATGCAAATAGCTTAACCATTTTGATGATGAACACACCCACTTACATGTTGGACCATTGCCTAATGGACACAAAGTAACGGATCCCCTTTATCCCATTATCCAAGTGCAAGTCCCAACTGTGTCTCATTCATTCATTTACTAATTGATTCATTATATAAATACATGTTGAGCTCCACTGTGTGGCAGCCCTGTTGTTTTAGGCTCTGGGATATACGCAAGACAAAATTCTGGACCTCAGAGAGATTAAAGTCTACAAGAGGAGACAACAAGCTAAACACATATATACTATAATAGCAGTGAGGCAATGGCCAGATCAGGTAGGGCCTTTCTACTCAAAGTGTGGTCTGGGAACCAGCAGCATCGGTATCACCTGGGAGTTCACTGGAAGTGTAGAATCTCGGGCCCCACCCCAGACCTTCCGATCTGTATCTGCAGTTTAAAAAGTTGTCCAGGTGATTCTTAGGCACTTTGAAGTTGGAGAAGTGATGTGGGAAAGTCAGTCCCATCACAGGGTGTGTCTGTTAGAATCACCTGGGGAGAATTCAAAGTTACTGGTACCCTGTCCTTACCTCCAGAGATTCTGATTTAAATGATGTGAAGAGGGTTCCAGATGGTGGAGTGTTTTACAATCTTCCCAGGAGATTAGGACATGTGTCTAGGTTGAGGATCACTGAAGTAGGTTGTATCCTGGATGCAATGGGAAGCCCCTAACGATTGAGATCAGAGGAGTGGCATGACCCAATTTCTACTGAGGAGGAATTCTTAACCTCAAAGTAACCGCTGAGCTGCTGAGGCAAAGAGGGCTAGAAGCCATCTCCACCTCTGGGTCTGACAGAATGACAGCCCATCCGGCAAGGTAGGGAACGCAATGCAATGTGGCCACCACACTGAATGCGGAAGTCAAACCTTTGCTGGTTCACAGGCAATGAATAGCTCCTTCTGAAGAAAAGACACTGCAAGGACATCCACATTAAAGCCAAGATCAAAGCCAGGTGTAGTCCCTTTCTCTCATTACATACCTGAGGACCTTTAATTCCCAGACCTCCTTTTTCTCCTTTCATACCAGTCTCTCCTCTGGGACCCTACATGTAGAGAATTAAAGCATTATTTGCTTTCTAAAAGAGAACACTTGAATAATAACTTGAATATTAAATATGGACATGATAAGTCAGTCACGTGGACAGAAACTGGAAAGAGAACTCTACCCATGCCCTTGGCTCTGTCTTGATCTGTGAGTGTCCCCTCTGTGCATGTATACAAGGGTCCAATCTGCAATTTCAGCAGTTGGGCATTTACAGTCAACTGAATAAATACTCAACAGTTGAATATTTCAGTATTGCTTTCTGATTATCCTAAGCATCTTTAGACTCCAAATGCATATATTTCTTATGTGATAAAGAAAATGATCCTTAATTATGTAATCTGAAAATGAAACATTAAAATAAGTTTTCAATTCAATAATCACACTGAAGACTGGTCATAAGATACAGCATGTGGTAAGGTGAAATTTGGATATTTCTACTTGTAAAATATTATATTGCCTGTTAATCATGGCCTCCATACATTAGGCAGATAAACCTTCATGCTGTTTTTGGCTTTTCCATCCTCTTTTAAATTTTTTCATGAAGAAAGAGTAGAAGAAGGGATGTTGTTGTATTACTTGTTTAGCATGAAATAAAGCCAGCCAATCTACTGAAATGCTTCCCCACAACCCCAGTGGCAAATATTTCTCACTTCAAGATAAGACAAGTGAACTTTCCTCAGTTGGCAAGAAAAACAGAAAAAAGCAATCAAGCTCAGAAGAGATAGAGGTCCAAGGGGGCAGATTGTTTACCGCTCTCAAGTCTTGGTAAAAATGTGGACAAAATTTTTCCTCTGATGTCTAAGGATATTTTGCCCAACTTTCATGCACCATGGTGCCAACATACAATTGTTAATTTTTTAAAACTATGTGGATTAAAACCTTGAAAAATTATAGAACCATTGCTTGTTCTGCATTTGCCAAACAGCAAAATTATTTCTCAAGATTTCAAAGCCAAGTTTGAGAAAAAATAAGTTCTAACTTTCTATACTCTGACCTCTTTTCTTTCATCTCAGCATTTTCTAGGACTTCCTTTCCCTTTTCAGAATTATTTCAGGCTACATTTTGGCACATGCTTCCTTTCCCCTCATGTGATCAGTGTAAGAGCCAACCATGGGCTCTTCCTCAGAAAGGAAAAAGTGCTGGAGGCAGCTCTCTGGGGGAAGTGAACAAGAAAGACAGGCTGAGTGCCATGCTATAGAACACCCTGAAGACTTCAGCTGTATTTGGAACAATTCTTTCCTAGAGTAGAGCCAACTTTTCTACAACACAGGAGTCCAAATATGTAACACTGAGCTCTTACTGTGCTACATTGACCAAAATTCCCAGTTTGAGGCTCAACATTTTCTTTGGCTTAAGGTCTCCCTAGAACATCCCAGCTAGCTTGGAGTTATTGCACGGGGACCCTATCCAGCATGTTCATTCTCTTTTCACCTCTTGAGGCACAAAATAAAGGAGACTAAATGCTGGTCAAGTCAAGACTGTGTCGCTTCCTTACTTTATTACTTTGAAAACACTTTAAGCATCTGTAATTCTGCAAAGAGGTTTGATGAATTCCATCAAATCTCCAGATTCTTCATGTTGTCACATTCTGTTTAGTACTGATATGTACCTGAGGGCCCTTAAGTCCCCATGAGCCTTCAAGTCCATCTGGGCCTGGGATGCCTGTTTTCCCCTGTGGTGAGAGAGAAATCAACCTGTTAACACTGTTTCCTGAGAATTTTGTCTTCTTTCTTCATGTACAACATTGTATAGTTTCAATCACAATACAGTGCAGGATCTTTGGAAAAAATACGAAAAATAAGGGAGAATACAAATAAAGAAATAAAACTCTTCTACAATCTTATAAACCAGAGATAACCAAGGCTACTATGTTGGTACATTTGCTTTCAGTCTTTATACATATGCACACTTACATACTCTTTTTTCTGTAACATTTCTAATATATCTAACTTGGGCGTTTGGCCTGAAAAAACTCACAATTTACTTCACATTTTCTTAATAAGTCTCTGGAAATCTTACAACATTATATTTATATTCAAATAGATTAAATATCTATGAATCAAAGTTAAGCATTATCTTCACATTGCTCTTGAACTCTGCCAAAGAGTTCCAAAAAAAAAAAAAAAAAAAGGATTAAAAGGCTTAATTTAGTCAACTATTGAAATAGCCTAAATTTATGCCTCAATTGTTACACAATGAGATGTGATTAGAGGTCCCCTGCTAATTAATGCTTTTTCCTAGATCTCATAAAGAGGAAATTTCTCGGGGCGCCTGGGTGGCGCAGTCGGTTAAGCGTCCGACTTCAGCCAGGTCACGATCTCGCGGTCCGTGAGTTCGAGCCCCGCGTCAGGCTCTGGGCTGATGGCTCAGAGCCTGAAGCCTGTTTCCGATTCTGTGTCTCCCTCTCTCTCTGCCCCTCCCCCGTTCATGCTCTGTCTCTCTCTGTCCCAAAAATAAATAAACGTTGAAAAAAAAATTAAAAAAAAAAAGAGGAAATTTCTCAACACTTTCCCCAGCCTCATTTCATTCTTTTCATGCCATTATTCTGGTTTTCCTCTCCTTTTTGTTGAAGTCTAACCTTGAAATGTGTGTGTGGAATGGAGTGATGTCTGTGGATGGTAAACTCTCTTAGTCTTCATCTGAAAACGTCTATATATTTATTCATACTTTAGCTAGGTATGGAATTCTAGATTAACAGCTATTTTTCTTCTGCACCTGTAAAATATTACTTTGCTTTCTTGAATATTTTATTGCTGAACACGAGTCTGCTGCAATATAATTTGTTACCCTTCTCATGGATAAAAATGCCTTTTCTCTCCGGTAGTGTTTAAGATGTTTTCTTTAGCATTCCAGAGTTTTACCATGATGTGACCGAGAGTGGATTTATTGTTTATCCTCATTGTATTTTCAACCTGAGAATGTGTTTTTCTTGAATTTTATAAATTCCAAGTCATAATTTATTTTTCATAAATCTTATAGATGACATGTATAATACATCACTAACATGTACAAAGAAGATAGGATATGATATTTGGTATGGTCAAGTTTTGAACAAAACACTCAGAATGTCCAATTTGTATTAGAGTTTCACAGTACTCTCATTTTAAAAAGGGTTTATATAAATTGTAAGATTCCAGAGTCAACCGAACAAAAATCTAAAGGAAAGATTACTCAACTGAGTTACTAGTTTGTACTTGATACCTGAACAAAGTTAAATTTAACAGTATTTGGGCCAACTAGTGTCTTATCATTGATTTTTACAATCTTTGATTAGAATGGTCAAATTTTCATCTTAAGATTTGAGTTTTTGAAATTGTAGCCTAAAAGTTTTCTAGTATTTTATTCCAAAACCAATATCATCAAAAAGTGAAAGAACTTTAGTCTTGAAAGAGATTTCCCAGAGCCTTTATTACTCCTTGACTGGACACAGAATCCTTATCATTTGGAGTTAAGGAAAAAAAAAAAAAATCACTGTACCTGTGGGCCTGTATGTCCCCTTCGGCCATGAGCTGCCTAAAGTAGGAGGAAAGTTAGATACCATTAACTCTGAAAAAAAAATGCTTTCTATATTTAATTTAAATTAGTAATAAACACGCTAAGGCATTTTTTTTTAAGTTCTCACATATTGCTTAAAACATTTAATTATCCACTGCACCATGACAGTAAAATGTTGCCAACTCTGAATTTCATTTTTAATTTTTTTTTTTTTTGAGAGAGTGAGAGCATGCACATGGGAGCAGTGGGGGAAACGGGCAGAGAGACAGATAGTATTAAGCAGACTCCATGCTCAGTGTGGAGCCCGACACAGGACTCGATCCCATGACCCTGGGATCATGACCTGAGCCGAAATCAAGAGTCAGACACTCAACAGACTGAGCCACCCAGGCATCCTGCCAACTTTGAATTTTTATCCTAGGGCAATAGGTAATAAAAAATAATAGACAACTGAAATCTGTACATACTTAGAACAGATTGTGGTCAATAATTTGCCCTTCCCTAAACTATTACTAGAACTGGTCACAAGCTCCAAAATTGATTGATTCAAATTTAATTTCTTTTCACTTTTCCAAAGTACTAACAACCCAAAAATCAAGAGTGTAGTAGCCAAAAGGCAGGAAGCCAGAGAAAAAGCTGGGAGAATTGACTCCATGAACTTTATTATAATTTCAGAATCTAAAGATAGCCAGACTAATTTTATACCCCTTTACCCAAAAAGCCAAACAATATGCTTACCTGTTAAAAATTAAAGAACCATCCCAAGCATTCAAAAATTCTCAATTCAGTATGCTAATGAAATTAAATTAAAATAATAGCACTACACAATCAAGTGAAATTTTCCTAATACTTTCATATATAAGATTAGGGTCTGGGTATATTTCAGATCAACATATTATAGATCTGTAAATCACACAGAGGCATTTTATTGTCTAACTTATGATCTCTCAAAGTTATAGCAAAATTGACACCAAGATTTGCAAAATTCAGTAAATATCAGACAACATTTTCTTGATGGAAACTTGAGAGATTCAGATCAAAATTCAATGTGAGGCCAGACTTTAAATTCTTCCAATCACATTTCAGTTAACTTCTATTGTTATCTAGGAAACAGACTGTGTATATCTGGAGAAATGGAGACCCATTTCTTTAAAACTCTAATGAGTCATGTTGAGAGGAGAGTCTAAATCCTCTCCATCAGGAGGAAAAGAAATTCTCTCCACTCCTTTAGTACAAGAGTTTATCTGATCTGGTTTAATGCACTTCAGTCTCATTCAGAAAAATATCTACCAATCATCTACTACCCACAAAGCATATTGAATGGGAACCATAAAGATTACACACACACAGTTTGTGACCTCAGAGGATGCTCATACTTTGGATTTGGGGAGGGTGAAGAGATAAATATTACAATATTTACAATGTATAGTATGGCAAATGCCATAAGAAAGGGGAAGATGGAAATATGGGTTTCGGAGAAAGCAATTATATCCAGTTTGTCAGATTAGGAAAATATTCCTACAGGATTTTTTTGTAATTAAAAATTTTTTAATGTTTATTTTGGAGAGAGAGAAAGACAGTGCACGAGTGGGGGAGGGGCAGAGAGAAAGGGAGACACAGAATCCAAAGCAGGCTCCAGGCTCTGAGCTGTTAGCACAGAGTTCAACCCAGGGCTCTAACTCAGACTGCGAGATCATGACCTGAGCCAAAGTTGGATGCTTAGCCAACTGAGTCACCCAGGCGCCCTGAAGAAGATTTTAAGTTTATGTAAGTAATCTCTATACTAATGTGAGGCTTAAATTCATGACCCTAATATTAAAGAGTCACATGCTCTACTGACTAAGCCAGCCATGTGCCCTAGAAGATATTTTTGATCTGAGTTTCACAGAATGTATAGGAGTTTCACAGGTAGAAGAAAATGAAACAACTCTTTCTAGTAAAGGGTATTCCTTTCTAAGTAATGAAGTAGAGGCAGGAAAATAGGAAGTGTATTTATGGTGGCATTTCTAGGACAGAGGTGTCAGAAGAGAGGGGAGTAGTAGGGTTACTTAACTGAAGGGTTCATACTCCATTTAGCAGAAACTACTGGCACTCTTAAAGCAGGAAATGTACATGGCCAGATTTGGGCTATAAGTGGATAGATCTGGGTGTGGCAGGCACAACTTGAACCTACATTCAGTCAAAATAAAGAGCATCCTATATGATTTAAGGGATATGAAACAGGACTTTACATCCAAAAATTTTTCTCTGGTCCGTGGTCACAGTGTTTGAAATAACATCAATAAACATTTGGTGTCTGTGTCTTTAAGGTTCAACTTTGAAAGAGCTTGATTAAAATTAGTCATCTCAACATTGAGCTCCTGCTCCTTAGAGGCACTGGGGTGAGTAGTAGTAAGCAAAAATGACTTCTGGTCCTAGGCAGGAGTTTAGAAGCCTGACAGAGGATAAAGATTTTCATCTACCATTCATGCACATCATGGAAACATCTCTAGAAGTAATCATCTAGCACTTTCATTAGTGGCTATTTGGGATTTAAACTTTATTTAAAAAATTTTTAACATTTTATTTTTGAGAGACAGAGAGAGATAGAATGCAAGTATGGGAGGGGCAGAGAGAGAGGGAGACACGGAATCCGAAGCAGGCTCCAGGCTCTGAGCTGTCAGCACAGAGCCCTACGTGGGGCTCGAACCGACCAACCGCGAGATTATGACCTGAGGTGAAGTCAGACGCCTAACTGACTGGGCCACCCAGGCACCCCTGGGATTTAAACTTTAAATGGAAGTCATGGGTTTGAGATGCCTTGGGTAGGTGTGAGAGACTGAAAAAAAAAAAGGAGGGGGGGCACCTGGGTGGCTCAGATGGGTGAGCATCCGACTTCAGCTCAGGTCATGACCACGGCACCAGTTTGAGCTCATCAGGGTTTGGTGCTGATAGCTCAGAGCCTGGAGCCTGCTTCCAATTCTGTGTATCCTTCCCTCCCTCCCTCTTTCTCTGCCCCTCTCCCACTCGTACTCTCTCTCTCTCTCTCAAAAATAAACAAACACAAATAATCCAGTGAAGAAATGGGCAGAAAACATGAATAGACACTTCTCCAAAGAAGACATCGACGATGGCCAACAGGGGCACATGAAAAGATGCCAACGCCACTCCTCATCAGGAAATACAAATCAAAACCACACTCAGATACCACCTCACAATTCAGTCAGAGTGGCTAAAATGAACAAATCAGGAGACTGCAGATGCTGGAGAGGGAGAAACGGGAACCCTTGCACTGTTGGTGGGAATGCAAATTTAGTACGCCTTGGAAACAGTGTGGAGGTTCAAAAATTAAAAATAGATCTACCCTCATGCATCTTACAATAGCACCGCTTGTGACTTACCCAAGGATACAGTGGAAAGGATGCAGAGTGCTAATTGTACCCCAATGTTTAGAGCAGAACTCTCAACAATAGCCACCATGGAAAGAGCCTAAATGTCCATCAACTGATGAATGGATAAAGGAGTTGTGGTTTATATACACAATGGAGTACTACGTGGCAATGAGAAAGAATGAAATATGGCCCTTTGTAGCGACGTGGATGGAACTGGAGAGTGTGATGCTAAGTGAAATAAGCCATACACAGAAAGACAGATACCATATGTTTTCACTCTTATGTGGATCCTGAGAAACTTAACAGAAGACCATGGGGGAGGGGAAGGAAAAAAAAAGTTAGGGAGAGAGCCAAACAATAAGAGACTCTTGAAAACTGAGAATAAACTGAGGGTTGATGGGGGGTGGGAGGGAGGGGAGGGTGGGTGATGAGCACTGGGTGTTACATGGAAACCAATTGGACAATAAATTTTACATTAAAAATTTTTTTTTAAAAAAGAAAACAAGGAAATAGGGGAGATAATTCCACAATTTTGCTTTAAAATTTTTAATGTTTTAAATGGGGAAGATTAAATCCCAAAATGTCTTAATGTTGGCCCATGGGCTTGCAGTTATGTGGTAACACATCCAGACAGCCGAACTTACCTGTGAAAGGAAACGTGAATGAACACAGCAAGAAAGAAAATATCCCCAAAGACATCCTGGGAGTAAGAAGACCCAGAACAGGATACTCAGTCTTGTTGGTCCCACCTAGCCTGGCTTTGGTAGTTTAGCTGAGCCCACTTTCTCAGATAGATATGGACTGATTTGAGACACAATCCCCGGGGAAAAAAATCAGGGTATTTTTAATGGCGAAATATCACATTAATACTGAACATTAATGGCAAACACTCATTCACAATGACGAATGACTGCCTGGGGGCACTTCAAGCTGCCTCTGCAGAAGTGCCAAGAGAGATGAAAAGGGCACAGCATAACAGCCCTCTAGATGGAATAGGACTGAAGGCCATGTTTTAGTTTGAGGCTACAGTTGCTTCTCATTATCCATGGCACCAGGATCTGTTCTAATTCTCAGTAGATCTGCGCTCAGAAAGAGCCAGTCTCCCATTCCTGCCTCCCTGCCCCCAGCACTGTGGCTTTCTGGCCCTGATCCTACTCTGGACCCCTACCCCAATCCAATCCGTTACAGACTGCTGGCAGAGCACCAGTTACAGCTTATCACCCCTGCAGGTCTGTCCCCCTCTACAACGGTGGTTTCAAACCGCAACATGGGGATTTAGCAAACCCCCTTCTCTGGGAACATTTGGCAATGTCTGGAGATGGTCTTCACTGTCACAAGTTAGGGGTCCTACGGGCACCTAGTGGCCAGGGATAATACTAAACATCCCACAATGCACAAAATAGCTTCCCACAACAAAGAATCGTCTGGTCCAATGTCAACAGTAGGTTGAGACACCATCTATAGAATCCATAACATGATTCTAGGTTCCTTGAGAGCAAGGATTAGGTCTTATTTGATTTTGTTGCTCTAGTGGTTAGTGGAGTTGTTGGTACATTGTAGGTGTTCAGTAAATGTTTGTCACATGAATCAAGGCCAGATTTGGTCAAGTGCTGTTATTTCCCTGCATGCCACACTCTACCCCTGACCATCCTCCAATCACTTCTCAGTTCAGCAGAATCCTGTTGCACCAAGAAGTCCTCAATGCCTGCTATCTACCTACATTTTAGAATTCTTCAGTCAGTGGTATAGATTTTTCTTCCTTCTGAAAGGATGATAATGACTTTACTGTTACAAAAATGATACATACAGATATGTAAATATTCAAATGCAGAAAAAAAGAATAAAAATTTAAGTCATCCAAAATCCTCCATCTAGATATGACTATTATTAACATTTGGTAATCATGATGGCTTACATCTTAAAAAAAAGTTTTTTTTTAATGTTTATTCGTTTTTGAGAGACAGAGTCAGATCGCGAGCAGGAGAGGGGCAGAAAGAGAGGGAGACACAGAATCCGGAGCCGGCTCCAGGCTCCGAGCTGTCAACACAGAGCCTGACATGGGGCTCAAACCATGAACCATGAGATCATGACCTGAGCTGAAGTTGGACACTTAACTGATTGAGCCAGTTGCCCCTCCTTACATCTTTTTATGCATTTACAGAGTTCTAAATAGTAGTACTTTTGATTAAAGAGGGATCATGGTATTTATGCTATTCTAAAATTAAAATCTTACATTTAATTTTACTTGAATTTAATAGAAAAACAAAATAAATGGGGGCTATGCTACTTGTAGTTTTAAAGGCTTTATCATGTTAATTACTTGTATGTTCACAGGCCAACTTGGGTGGGCATAAAAATCTTGGACCCCTGGATTTCCTTCAGAACTCTGTAGCTATTCTATGGGACACCTGGGTGGCTCAGTTGGTTAAGCGTCCAACTTCAGCTCGGGCCATGATCTCACAGTCTGAGTTCGAACCCTGCGTTGGGCTCTGCTGACAGCTCAGAGCCTGGAGCCTGCTTCAGATTCTGTGTCTGTCTGTCTCTCTCTCTCTCTTCCCCTCTCCCACTCACACTCTCTCTCTCAAAAATGAATAAGTGTTGGAAAAAAAAAAAAAAAAA